GCACTGCTGAGAGGACCGGAAGACAGGCAAGGGCCCTAGGACAAGGCAAGAAGCAATGCCATTTTCACAGAGCTAGGGTTCAACACCTGTCCCCTCCAGGTGACCTAGACACAGTCCTGGGGAGGATCCTGCCAAGAGTTAGGCTATAATGGACCATAAACTGCCACTGAGCCTGCAAGAGCTTTGGATTGAAAGCCTGATTCGAGAAAACAGGTTTCTTGGAGTCCTGTACCAGACTTAGATTCTGGCAGCCTAGCACAGATGAAGAACTTTCTTTCACCTAGTCCAACTTAAGTGAGCAAGGATTTGTTTAGCCCCTCCTCAGTGGCAGCACTGTTCCGGGGTATCAGCATAGGAGACATCTCACTGCCCTCTGACCCTTTACTCTATGCTGAAAGCTGCTGCTTTTTCTCAGAGGCAGCACCATGGGACTCAGAGGTTTTGTGACAAGATAGACATGGACTTAAATGCTTCAGTACTCCTGAATCCCATGATATCACCATTCATGAGCCTCAGTTTCTGAATAATCAACTCGCAGCTTCACAGGGCTGGCAGTGAGAAGTCAGATCAAACGTGTTTAAACCAGGGTCCATGGTCCAAGTCATGATTTGCCCATGGCATCAATCAAATCAATAAGCCAATAAAACCTAAAGCCTCCTCTTTCCCCGTCAAAACATTCTTTGCTTGGATACTTCCCAGAATTCCTTCCTCCTGAAGGACAAAGCCTTGCTTTTGGAGTTGGCATCTCAAGGCCTTCCAGGTGGAGCCCTGCGACAAGGGTTCAGTAAGCACGCGTGGCCGCCATGTTGGACAGCACAGAGCTTTACATTTGGCATGCTGCAGGAAGTCTGCTGTGTCCGGTAACTAGGCACGCCGTGCTTGGAGCCCTTACATGGCAGGCTTCGCTGAGGGTGTGAGGAAAGGATGCTGAACACGAACACTTTAGGAGAGAGGCACGCAAGGCCAAGAAAGTAGTAAACAGAACTTGGGGATCCAGGCTCAGACCCCAAGGGTAGCCATCAGCATCCTGCCCACAGTATATCGCTACCACCAAGTGACTTTTTTGCCCTTTTCCTACTTCGGCTTCAGTCTTTCCCTAAATAATGATAAGGAGACTGAGGTAATGCAGTGTACGAACAGGCCTGGGACCCTGTGGGCCTCTGTGAATGAGACCTTTCTGTCACCCCTTGATTTTCCTAACTTCTTCAGATGTTGGGAGGAGTAAAGAACACCATGCTTCTGCCCTGGCACATTGGGAGAGTTTAACAAAGAGACCTTCCCCTCATTTTGAAGTTAACCTCACGTATGATCATAATCTGTGCCTGACAGAGAATAGAGAGGTTTTCTAAAGAAAAAAAACCAGAATAAAATGTTAGTAGACTTTTCTTTGAAAAGATGTTTGTTATCTTGGGAGAATATCCTTCTGGCCCTCCAGACAGCTGGGGAGGATGGGAGAAACATTGAGCATGAGTTGATATTTTGTTTTGGGGTTTTTTGGTTTTTTTTTTTTTTGTTTTTCGAGACAGGGTTTCTCTATGTAGCTTTGCGCCTTTCCTGGAACTCACTCTGTAGACCAGGCTGGCCTCGAACTCACAGAGATCCGCCTGGCTCTGCCTCCCGAGTGCTGGGACTAAAGGCGTGCGCCACCACTGCCCGGCCTGATGTGACAATTCTTGAAGCCCAGCTGGAGTAAAATGAGGATTCGTTTTTCTATTCTGTCTGTTACATGCTTGATACATTTCATAACAGAAAAAAAAAAACCTAAGGCGAAAAATAAAAAACCTCAACAACGCACTCCCACTGGGACTTAGGATACCCAAGTGGACCCCTGGCCTTTGGACTTTGGGGAGATCTGTTTCTGTAAAGTGCACCTGCTTTTGAAGGGGGCAGTGGATGTGGGGAGTGTCATGAGTGACCATTCACCCTGCGTGTTTCCATCCAGGTATCTGTTGGATTTATATGGAATGTGAGCCTCTGGCTCCTCAGGTGCTGCTGCTGATTCTGATGAAGGGATCAGAGGCATGGTTCCTGGTGTCCGGGTGTCCTGGCCCCCATCCAGGTTCCCAGTCACTTCTCGGCCTCCTCTCCAGCTGGACTGGCCTGGGCTAGAGACCTACTCCATGCCTCCTGGGTGCCCAGTTCCACAACAGCTCAGCTGCTCCTTCCTTCTCCCTGCTCACCAGAGCCCCAGCCTGTCTGGACCTCCCTTCCCTTCCTCTGGACGACCTCTCCATTTTCTGGGCCTTTTTTCTCCCTGTCTGGGCCACACCAGGTGCACTAAGGGGCTTGGCAATCCCTGAAGGAACCCACTCCTTGTGGGTACTTTGAGTGGACCGTTCTGCTGTGGTTCTTTCAGGTTCTGACTGCTCTTTCTGGCTGTCATGCCAGCCCCGGGTGCCGGAGCTCAGTCTCCTCATTTATTTTCACAGTGCCTATCATAAGGTTAGATATACACAGAGGGGAAAGGAATGAACGAAAGAACAAACAAATGAATGAATGGATGGATGAATGAATGAATGAATGGGTCTGACGGGCAGTGAGCGCCACGTCTTTTCTCACCTGCATTCCTCTACCCTAACGGGGGACTCTGAGCTAACTTAGGCGCTCGGAGGATAGGTTTCCATCTAATTCAGGCAGCAGTCAGCCAGTGATGCCGGTGGTCTGCGATGCTGCTTCCCGGCCCTGCTGGACCATGTTGAGGGATGCCTGAATGACTGCAGGCTGAGGAAAGGTAGTGAGGACTGTTCTCTCAGGCTCCCCGGTCGCTGGGGTGGGGCAGGCGGGGGTGACGAGGCGGGGGGGGGGGGGGGGGGGAGCAAGAGAAAACAGGAAGAGAAACAAGAGAGGTAGGGAGTGGCGAAGAGGATGAGCGTGAGGGAGAAGGGGTCCCAGAGAGGGAGAGATCCTTGCCTTGTGTGTCTCCAGCCTTCTGACATGGCTGGGCTGATATTCCCCAGCACTAATTGTTTCAATTAATAACACTGCTCTATAAAATTTCAGCAGCCAAGAGCAAGTGCAAGGAGCGATGACCTAATGCATTAATAATGCAGGCCAGGAGATGGAGTGGGGGAGCTCCATTAAGGAACCGCTGCAGTGGTGGCCTTTGCAGCTGCTAATGCTTGCAGCAGGGCAGTGCGACGCCCTTGGCTTGTGCAACCCACAGGGCTGTGGAGCTTTGGGACCAATGGGCAGAGAGGCTTGGGAAGGGTTTAACCTTCTGGTAAACTTTAGAAAGCATCCTTCCCATTCTTTGGCAGGGACAATTGATGTTCTCTCTTACATAAGCACTGTGCAGTATTTACTGCGCTATATGCCCTGCAACGTTTCCCCCCGCCCCCACAACAGATTAGCAGTCCCTCCCTCTCCCCTGCCAGTGGCTGAGGTTCTTGATGGTTTTCAAATTCATGTTTGAGCCTTTCTCTCTGTGTGTCTCTGCCTTTGTGTGTGTGTCTCGCTCTAGGTTCTTTAGGGAGGAGATCTCTTTCAGGATCAAGATCCTGTATCCACAACATGTGGAGCAGCTTCCCCCCAGGTCGCTATCACCGTCATGCCCCACACAAGCATCTATGGACACACAGTCTGTGCCCTGAGCAGCTCATACCTGTGAGGCCCAGCAAGACCAAAGCGGGAGGCGGCCAACAGGCCCCCATGCTGAGGTTGCAGGTCGCTGAGTGACTCTGAGGCAAAACCAGTTCTTTTGCCATCGGCCTGCAGAAGCCAGAAGCCGGAACCTGCCCAAACCAGCCCCCTAGAGTAGGCCTTCTTGTGTTGCCCTCTAGGCTTCTGAGAAGCTATGGGGACTATATGTCATCACCTTTATGCTAACGAGGATCTGTCCACATATCTACCCACATCCAAAGCACTCAACATCCTCTAACACAGTGCTCTGATCTCCTTGGGCAGCCTTGGATGACTGGGACACTTAGATGGACCCTTTTTGGGGGTCCATGTGCCACCCAGTGACCCTCCTAATTCACCTGCAGGCAAAGTTTATGTTAACAAGAGTCAAGATCTTGAAACTGAGAACACAAGGCAAGACCCCCCACGTTCCTCCAAGACTCCAGTTAAAATGAAATCTCACACTCCAAGTTTGGGTATCCATGGCCAGGCCCGTGCCTCTATTTCTGAAGTTTGTGTTGTCAACTCATATGTGACCTCCTTTTCCAAGGAAGGACACAAACAATCATGTGTGCCATCCATGCGCAGACTCCCAAACAGTGCAGAGTGCTCTCGACCATATTCTGGGGACACGGCACCTCCAGTTTCACTCCTTTAGAGGAGGAAGCGGAAGTCCCGAGAGGGTGAAGTACTACAGTAGTAGAGCAAAGGGTGTGAATCCAGGCCTTTTGGCCATCAAAGTCCAAGTCTTTCCTGACCTAGGTTTAACTGGATTCAAACACTAGCTCTTAGAAGGCATGTCTGGAGCAAGCCTGGCTCATCTTCAGTTCTGGGCCCTATTTCTCCTTGCTATTCGTTCCTTTCAAATAAGTTCCCTAATTCTGCAAAGCCTTAACTTTAGCATTTCTTCTGTGGGGTCGTTTCTAGGTCTTTTCCGCATACTGTAGCACTTCTGAGTAGGTCAAAGGGTAAGAGGGGATGTTAGGTCTACCAAGGAGTGTTTGTAGTGCATGCTTGGTTTTTATGTCCCTTTTATTCATGTCTAGAAGACCCCAATTTTCTGGCCGGGTATTTGTTCTTCCCTTACAATGTATAAGGCAGTGGCCTCAGGGTATGACCACAGGGAGACTGCACTTAGTCTGGATTTACTTCCTTCCTCCCTCCCTCCCTCCCTCCCTCCCTCCCTCCCTCCCTCCCTCCCTCCCTTCTTTTCCTGTTGCTAGGGAATGAACTTAGAGCTTTGTGCATACTAAGAAAGTGTTGTACCATGGAGCTACATTCTGAGACACTGGTTTGTTTTTGTTTGTTTGCTTACTTGCTTTGTTTATATAATAGAGTCTTACTTTATATAGAGTCTGGATTTATATAGTCTTATTCTATAGTCCTGAAGGGCCTGGAACTCACAGAGAGCTGCCTGGGTCTGCCGCTCACTGTTGGGATCAAAGGTGTGCGCCACCACACCGCACAAGGTACTGGTTTTATTGTTGTTGTCGTTTTTTGTTTGTTTGTTTTTTTATTTGTTTTGTTTTTTTCAGACAATGGCTTGAGATACAGTTCGGTCTGTTCTCAAATTGGCACTCTTCCTGCCGAATGCGGGGATTACAGGCATGTACCACCATGTCTGGCTAGTCCAATTTTCTTAGTGCATGAATCTTACCTCTCTCGTCAGCATTTGGCTTGGAAATGGTCATGGGACTCAACGTTGGGGGAAATATTTTGGAGGGTTCTCTCCTTCTTCAACAGTATCGCTCCATGACCAGAAATGCTGTGGGCATCCTGCCACCCCACTTGTAGATAAAGCCCACTGGAGGATGGCAGAGGAGGAGAGAAAACGCTCCTTGAGTTGCTGAAGTCAACACTCCAAGCCTGCCCTTCCCCTGAATCTCTGCTATGAGAGAATCAATCCCTCTGCTGTTGATTCTGATTTGAGTTCCCCAGTTTGCCTACTTGCTGGCAACAACATCCCAGCTGATACGTTCCTTCCTTAACGCGCACTATCTGCTCCGTCCTTGGGCTCACGACACAGTGCCTTTTGTCGCTACTGTCCTGTCATGTGATGTTATTTTCATTTTTGTGTGTTGATATCTTGCCTATAAAGTCTATGTCAGCTCTCCCAACTCCCATCGACTCTCTCTAAGTCTCCCCAGGGCTTCCAAACAGCAGTTAAATCAGGAATGTTGATAGAGTCCGATTATGTGTGCAGACTGAAGCGAGAGCAGTGAGTGAGGCGGGCGTGGCTCCCAGGGCCCTCACAACAGCCTCCTGCGTGAGTGAGGACCTCAGCTACGAACCAGATAAGCTCTGGAATAAATCTGGATGATGACTGGCAAGAGTTAGGAATGGAGGTGTCCAGCTCTGTACCAGGGCACAGGAGAGAGACCTGCCCTAGTCTACGGGTCAGGTGAAGTGACCCAGAGATGGGATCTGAAGGATACCTGGGAACAAACTGGGTGGAAAGCATAGACCATGAACACCAGGTGACGGGGACAGTGGATCTTCTCCTCCCCCTCCCAACTGACCCTTGTAGATGAAATTTTCTTTTGGAGCCACCAGCTCACAAAATAATGACAGACTTCTGGTTAATTATGAATGCTTGGCCGATAGCTTAGGCTTGTTTTTAACTAGATCTTATAACTTAATATTAGCCCATATTTTTAATCTATATCCTTTTATGTGACTTGGTTACCTTTTTTCCATACTCTCCATCCTGCTTCCTCTCTGTCTGTCTGGAGACTCCATCTTCTTCTTCCCAGGATTCTCTCTGCCTGGAAAGTCCTGCCTAGCTATTGGCTGTTCACCTTTTTTATTAAACCAGTTACAGTGACTTACCTTCACACAGTGTAAAAGAATATTCCATAACTGCTCCTGCTTAACTCGGGCCTCCCACTTCTGGTGTGGACAATTACTGTTGCTTCCTAACTGGTCCTCCTGCCATGCTCTCCTCCACCCCTCCTCCTCCAAGCCCGGAGAGTTACCTAGTAGATCATTTTGGTGGCCTTGAACAAGGGACGCCATTTCCTTCAGGGGGATCTGTGTGAGGCAATCCCCAGTCGCCTCTCCAGCCTTACGTCCTGCCTCTGAGAACTTCCTGCTATGCATGTCAACCACACTAGACAATCCGATTTTTCCATACCGTTCTCTTGCCCGAGTCACCTTCCAGGCTCTTTTGGTATGACTCTTCTGACTCAATCCAGGTGGCATTGCTTGGACTGGGCTCAGTGACTTCCCTCCCTGTTGCTACCACACCCTTCCTGTGACTGTCCAGCTAGAAATGGGTGTTTCCAGTGTGGGGACTGTGGGTTACTTAATTATTTTCATTTAAAAAAAAAAAATCCTTGTACCTCTTGAAATAGCATGCCTCGGGAATCATTTGTCACACTGTTCTTCGGCACTTACTGTCAGGCTGCGTAATCTGTACTGCTCATACTATATTCCATGTTACTGGATTCTACTATTGATGTCTGTGCATGTGTGTGTGTGTGTGTGTGTGTGTGTGTGTGTGTGTGTGTGTGTGTGTGGTGTGCTGCCATCTACTAGGACAAGGAGAATCTGGGTAGGGCAAGGCTTTCCCAGCAACTTCTCTCCACTTGACCCCTAACTTTGCACCCTTAGGCGGGCGTCTTGCTTTCCTAGGGAAGAACAGCAGTTCCCTTTCCCTGGGCCCATCTGGATCTCCACTGCTGGAGGCCAGCAAGTCTCACAGCTCTCAGCAGTCATCACAGCACTGGGCACAGCTGGTCCCTGAATAGGCCCTCGGTAAGTGGTGAATTAATGAAGGGATAAACACATAAATGGATGGATGGAGTTAAATTAACAGCTAAACAGATTGTGTCTACTCTTTCTGCTGTGAAACCACAAAGGAACCTTCTCTTGCTGCCTCAGTCCTTGCAAGCAGGCCTAGGGGAACAATGCATCCTGGGAAAGGACCTCTCAGCAGTGAGCCTTTATTGCTCAAGCTGATTCCATCCTCCAGGCCAAAGTGGGGAGTACGAGGGAATTAAGGGGGTTCCTGGAATGTGTGGCCTGAGCTTTCTGGAGGGACCACTCCCATGCTAGACCTGCAAGGCTTGCCTTCTAAGAAGCTCTTATAGATCATAGCCCAGGAGCCTTTGTCTCCTACGGTGGCAGCTTCCTCAGGCCCAGATGCTGTGGGATGTCCTGTGTGCTGTGATATATGTTGCTATGATTGATTGATAAATAAAACACTGATTGGCCAGTAGCCAGGCAGGAAGGATAGTGTAGGCAAGACCAGGAGAGAGGAGAAGACTGGGTGGAAGAAGGCTGAGGCAGAGAGCCGCTGCCAGCCGCTGCCATGGGGATCAGGATGTAAAGTACCGGAAAGCCACGAGCCACGTGGCAAGGTATAGATTTATAGAAATGGGTTAATTTAAGATATAAGAACTAGATAGCAAGGAGCCTGAGCAATTAGGCTAAACAGTTTAAATAATATAAGCGTCTGTGTGTTTATTTGAGTCTGAGTGGCCCAGCTACACCCAGAAGTCTAGATGGTCTGGAAGGCTCTCCGCTGCAGGTCCAGACACTCTGGAAGCCTTGAGAGAGGCAGATGTCCAGAGCGAGAATGCAGACTGCTTGCTCACTTCTGGGGTCTTAATGGAGGAAACACTGAGCAGGCCTGCATCTGAGGCGGTCCAGACAACGGGCAGCAGGTATGCAGGGGGTTTGTTTAGCGGGCTGTGTTACAGTCCAGGCTCTGGGAGGCAGGCCCTGGAGGAGGAAGGAGTCCTCTGTGAGGCGTTCTCTTAGAAACCAACCATCCAGGCCTATTTACAGGTGGAAGTGAGGCCCGGCCTGCTGCTGGATGTGGAGGAGAAGAGCCCCTTGCAGCTGCCAATGAGCCTGGCTGCACCCAGCCTTACTCCGACTTGACCCCTCAGTCAACCCCAAGTGTGATTTAGGCTGCCGCTTATTGGCTCTGAAGCTCCAAGTGTCGCAAAGGGGGAGGAACTATCTGTATAACTTGGAGGCCTAGGCAAAGTAAAACAGTGAGATCTCCTTTTCAAAATGACTAGGAATCCCAGTGTGTCAACATTAACACCGTCAAACCAAGCATAAGACCCATCGAAGCTCGGGACCCCGTATGATTGCGGGGTAAGAAGAAAGCCTGAAGAACTACAGCTGGGAAAAGGTGGAAGGACCGTGTTTTCCTCAAACGCATCCATGTTCCTTACTTTTTCTCTGTAGGGGACAAAAAGCTATTCATCCACCACAAAGGTCGTAGTTGATACTTCTGTAACAAAAGACAGATTAATAAGAGAAAAATAGGACAACTGATTTAACTGAAGCTGTGTGTGGCACGGAAACCTTCGAAAACCAAGGCCCTGGAACTGGGGAGGTAGTTCAATGGGTAAGTCCTCAGAAGTCTTTGAAAACGAAGGCCCTGGGACTGGGGAGGTAGTTCAATGGGTAAGTCCTCAGAACTCACAGAGTATAAAAGCGGGATTTGGTGGCACACATCTGTAACCCCAGAACTCCCAAGGTGAGAGGGGGGAAGAGACAGGGGGATCAGCCAGCACAATAGTAAGAGAACCCTGCCTCAACACAGTGGAAGGAGAGAGACAGCTCCTGAAGGCTGTCCTCTGAGCCTCGTCTGTACACCAGGGCACTTGTACGAGCATGCGTGCACACACTCACACACACACACACACACACAGAGAAAGAGAGAGAGAAGTGAGAGAGAGAGAGGGAGAGAGAGAGAGAGAGAGAGTCACATGCATAAATGTAATACAGTTTTTAAAAAATGAAGCCCCAAAGCCTGGTGGCACATTCCTATAATTCCATCACTCAGGAGTCAAAGGGAGAAGAATTGTGAGTTCAAAGGCAGCTTGGATGATAAAATAAGACCCTGTTTTGAAGAAACAAAACCCAAACAAGAAGAGCAGAAGACCCAGGGGAAACTGCTTTTCTGCGTAGGTAGAAGAATGGACACAAGGAATCTGTTTGATGGCAAGGATCTGCGAAGAGCTTGGCAAGGCCTGTTTGTTCAGATTCTTTGCATTTCTGGATCTTGACTCTTTTTCTCTGAGCACAGGACTAGACGCCAATCACAGGAGGGTCTTTAGAGGAGGAGGGAGAGAGAGGACGGTCAGAGTGGCGTCCTGCTTATGCCCAGGGACCGTGTGATGTCGCTATCACGTTCTATGCCTTGTACGTTCCTCCCTTGCTTGACTGTCTTTTGGTACACTCACTGCTGACTGGATAGAACTCAGGAGAGTTCCAGATTAGTTGGTCTCAAATAGAGATTGCCTTCCTGTGAGTGAAGACCCCAAAACCTGGAGTGTACGTTGACTTTGATCAAGGTAGCCATTTTTGTTGCCACTTTTGAGTTAAGTTATGGAGGAAGCGCCTTAAGTTCAGGCTGTCCTTGAACTTCTGATCCTCCTGCCTCTGATTTCAGAATGCTAGGATTCCAGGCATGTGCTATCACACTTCAAATATAGTAAAACTTTGTAGTTTTTTTGTTTCAAATAAACCTCCAAGGGAAGAAATTAAGAACCAATTTGGAGTCACGTGTGGCTGTATACACTAATCCCAGGTGGATCTCTGAGCCTGGTCTACAGAGTGAGTTCCAGGACAGCCAGGGCTACACAGTGAAACCCTATCTGTAAAAACCATAAACAAACAAACAAACAAAAAAACACCATGAACAAGGCCAGCCTAAGCTATATTAGACTGTCTCAGTGGAATATGAAGGCTCAATTTTGGAAAGATTGAGGGTTAGAAGATATTATCTCAAATATACCACTTTGGTATATTTTGAATTACAAGCAAAAAAAAAAAAAAAAAAAAAAAAAGCCAAAAAAACAAAACAAAACAAAAAGCAACAAAAAAACCACCACCATCACCAAAAACAATGGAAGTAAGAAAAGTTCTGATGCTACAGTTTTCTTCCAGAAAGGAAGAAGAAATAATAATAATAATAATAATAATAATAATAATAATACTCCCATTAGAGAGACCTTCTCCTGGTGCTGGGGATGGGAAGGGCATGCTCACAGGACACGAATTAAGGCTGAAAGAAATCTGTACACAAACCAGCCTTGGAAACTAACCCTCATTCCCACAGTTGGCTCCCCAGCCCGCTTCCCCTTGCCTTGCCGTATGTCCACAATCTACTTCGTGACACTCTGACCTGTGTCCAACTCTTCACTGCTTCATCTACCTTTTTATTTCCTTACGTGGGCTCCTGTGTCACGTAAGTCACGTTAAATAGCTTTCTATGCTGCGCTTCATCTGAGGTAATTTGACTCTCAGGCTCGGCCGAAGTCCCTAGGGCGGGTAGAAGTAACACTTTTGTGTCCTCTACAGAGTGAGAAGTTTCCCGAGGACTAATCTATTAACCGAGTGTAGTCCAGGTCGAGTAACAACAGGATTATCTTTGTTTTGAACATGGCAGAAATAGTAATAAGATGTATTTGGAGGACCAGGCATAGTGCCCCAGTCTGTAATCTCAATGTGGGAGGCTGAAGAAGGAAGTGGGAGACAGTCTGACTCCAGCCTGGGCTACATCGTGAAGACCCTATTTCAGAAAACAAAACACATACAAATAGCAAAACAACCAAAGAATTGCCTCTGAAATATAAGCAGAGGAAGAGAAAGAAGAAAATTTAAAATCATATCAATGTTTTTATCTGATTGATTGATTGACTGACTGATTGATTGATTGATTGATTGATTTTTAGGCAGGATCTCTCTTTGCAGCACTGGTTGGTGTGGAACTCACTCCATAGACCAGGTTGGCCTCTGACTCACAGAGATCCTCCTGCCTCTGCTTGTGGAGTGCTGGGATTAAAGGTGTGGGCCGCCATGCTCAGATCAATAACAATTTGAAGTGGTGGAGTTGGTAAGGTCCTGAGTGATAGGTATTTTTGAATCCCCGGTAGTGGGATTCTCCACGGACGCAATAAGCCAGATCAAGCCAAAAAGTTAAAAAGTAAAGGACCAGGCTTATCTCAGTAAAGCATTCTCAGGTGACTCTCAAGGCCCCCAGAGGTGAGGTGGGGGAGGAGGAGAAGAAATCAGTAGCAGGTTTTGGGACCAGAGCTTAAATACCCTGTAGGCGGGATCTTAAACAGCTCTGGGACAGGAGCTGCCCCTTGGTGGACTTTCTGAGAGGGATGGAGTTTGGAATGGGGGGGTTTGGGGCCCGAAGCAGACCTTCCAACTGAACACTGAGTTCAATCCCTAGAACCCATATTTTTTGAAAAAGCCAGACATAATGGCATGTGCATTTGTAATCCCAAAGTTGGGGAGACAGGCAGGCAGATTGCTGGGGCTCACTGGTCAGTCAGTCTAGGTTACTTGGTGAGTGCCAGGCCAGGGAGAGACCCTGTCTCAAAATGCCAGAAGAGCAGCTCACAAGGAACAACAGCCAAGGTTGTCCTCTGACCTCCCCATTCACTTGTGTGTGTGCACACACATGTATCTGCACACACATAGATGTGCACACACATAGATGTGCACACACGTGCAAAAGTAATTCTTTTTTTTGATTCTTTTTTTTTTTTTTTTGGTTTTTCGAGACAGGGTTTCTCTGTGTAGCTTTGCGCCTTTCCTGGAACTCACTTGGTAGCCCAGGCTGGCCTCGAACTCACAGAGATCCGCCTGGCTCTGCCTCCCGAGTGTTGGGATTAAAGGCGTGCGCCACCACCGCCCGGCTAAAAGTAATTCTTTTTTTAAAAAAATTTACTTATTTATTATGTATACAGCATTTATGACTGCAGGCCAGTTGAGGGTACCAGATCTCATTACAGATGGTTGTGAGCCACCATGTGGTTGCTGGGAATTGAACTCAGTACCTCTGGGAGAGCAATCAGTGCTCTTAACCTTTGAGACATCTCTCCAGCCCAAAAATAATTCTTAGAAAAATAATGAAATAAGGAGGTTGGGATCTTAAATATTAAAATGCATTCTGAAATGTTTGAAAGAGTATTTGGAACTTTCTGGATGACACACAGGTGGTACCAGTTCAGTGTGGGGGAGGGGGGGCTTCGCTTCCACCACCCTGGGTGAAGCCCTACCCACCCCTGCCCATTCCCAACAACACTAACTGGGTGGTAGACAAGAAAGCAGTATAGACATAGACACCCTCCATTGTCCACATCGAGCTGGTCCAGATCCTGGCACAGCATTTATTATTATTTTTTTCTACTAGTTATTATTCTGGTCCTTGACGTTTGTCTTGCTTGGGTATCTTCTATCCCAAATCCAAACCATGGATTTAGGGGACAAGGAACAATTAGCATCAAAAATCGCTTAAGGGGCTAGAACTAGAGCTAGTTGATGGAGCGCTTGCCTAGCATACATGGAGCCCTAGGTTCGATCCCCAGTGCCTCGTAAACGGCATGCCAGGATGGCACAGACTAGCACTTGAGTGGTGAAGACAACAATTCTGGGATACGTGAGACCCTGTCTCAAACAAAACAAACCAAACAAACAAACAAACCCTTTGGAAAAAGGTTGCAATGGTGAAAACTGGTTTCAGTGTTTCTGGGGGTGTTGGTGACAAGACCTCCTTACCCCTCTCTGCAGCCCTTATCATTCCCACGCATGGAGTCTGAGACCATTCCAGAAAACAATAGGGAGTCCAGCCATGTGGACCTTCCGTCTCTGCCACGTCTTCCTCAGGCCCCGGGCTCCATTCCCACAGTGGGCCGTTGCTTCCTGTGTCTCTGTGAATTTGCTGTAGGGGAAAATGGTGAAGCAAAAGCCCATCACAGTGGTGTTTTTTTTTTTTTTTTTTTTTTTCTCCCTTGCAGAGGCTAAGGTTTTACCACATACTGGGTACTGAAAGCAAGTAGCTTTTGGTCTCAACTGGGAGCCTGTTGGACCTGAGGTAGACTTTTAATCTTTCCCTGCCTCTGGCCCTGGGGTGGCAGCCCTTGTCTTGGATTCCAGGGGCCTAGGGGAGAAGAAAACACAAACGTGTCCCTTCAGTGAGGTCTGCTGTGTTGACACTGGTGATTGAGACAGATCATCGCTACAGATCAGGCTGCTGATTTCCATACTTTGGCAGCAGGAAGGGAAAGGAGGCAGGGCCTGGAGTTCAGAGCCCAGCCGGCTCTTAAGGGGTCCTCAGGCTGGCCCAGATTTCTTCCTGGGAGTGGAAGAGCCGGGTGCTCGCGGGGGGCCTACCGCCGCCCCGCCCCCAGCTCTCCACCTCCGCCTGCCGCATTGTACCGCTGATTTAGTGAAGACATCATCCGCACCCCCTTCTGAGAGCTACTGGCTGCTGCAGAGAAGTGCTCATACCCACCGACATATGGCTTTTTAAAGTCATAAATTGCATTAGCAAATTTCTTATTAGCTCTGCTGTCAGGCGGGAGCTCCTGCCACATTAGCTTGCTGAGGCTGACGAGCTTCCTGGCCATTAATTACCATGCCAAGGGACTCAGGCGCTGGCGGGTGGATGGGTGGAGGTCCCGATTCTCTACCCCTATTCCCTTCCTCCCGATTTGTGGGTGAAAGATCTAGGAAAGCCGGGCTTGGTGACCCTTGAGTTATCTAAGGTCTCGTTCTGCAGTGGTCCTAGCCTTGGGCTCCTGATCTCTGTGACGGGGGGCACAGGATGCCCAGACACCATCTGGGCTGCTTGGAGCTGGTTCTCCCTCAGGGGCCACTAAGACCTGGAAGTCTGAATCTGCACAGCATCTCATTTGGAGCTGCATTTTCAAGGCAGAAGCTGGACTGGGGCCCAGAAAGGTGTTCTGGCCTCTCCTTGGGGTTTGAGGCCAGTGTTTCTCACGCATCCTCGCTCAGCTCCAGACAGCTGAAGAGTCTCCTCCCCGAAGGTGACATCGGGTCTTTTGCTTCAGGCCTCTCTTGGTGGCTGTCCAGGGAACTGCATATCCTGGATGCTCAACCCAGATTTCCACCAACTCAGGCTTCCCACTTACATGAGAATTACATAAAATGCAAACATACTGAGGGCCGGAAGTAAGAGGAGATACGTCCCAGTTTCTCATTTTGTTTACTCTCTGAAACTAATAAACACCTCAAGGGTCTCCGATGCCTGTAATAACCAGACAAAAGAAACGGTTTCTCCTCTTCAGGAAAAATGCACAGCTGATCCCTGGGAAGTGGCCCGGACTCAGCTCCTGCCACACAAAGTTGCACCCGTTTCTCAGAGATCTAAGACTGTCTGGGTGGAGGCCCCAAGCGGGTTTCACGGAAAAAAGCAGAGAAATAGGTTCAGAGCTTCGAGGACTTTGTGGGTCAGGTCTGTATTAACCCTGAATTCCGAGAAACCACGCCTGGAGGCTCCTGTAGTCATAATCTTATGTCCCCGTGTGCTCCGGCTGGAAGGGGAGGTGGGAGAGGAGACGAAGGCAGAGGCAGAGCAAGAAGGTTCTGCAGTGGGCGTTGGGGAAGGTGTGTGTGGAGAAAGGGGGGGGGGAAGTGGTGGTGGTGGGGGGAGGCAAGCTCTGAGTTCCTCATTATGCAGCCCGAGGCTGCCTGGAAGAAATCTCTAAAAAATCTGAGGATGGATTTGCACACATGTGGCTTCAGATCCCATATTATCTTGAACCTTAAACCGAAGTAATTTCTGCCCTGAGAAATCAGAGAAACACTCTCCCTTCTCGTCACGCCTCTGAGGTCTAACCTACACGATATGCCCAAAGGATAGAATCACGGGCGGGTCCTTCAAGGCTTCCTGACTGCCAATTTATTCTTCAGGTCC